TTTTGAAAATACCATGTCTCCATGGATACCTGGTGTATGTGGTGTTACTAGCTGGGAGCGGAAGATGACCGGCACAGCATTGGGGATGAACCGGAAGAGGTCAGGGTCCTTGAGGATACCTGGGGCGCTTGAGCGAAGAAAGCCCAGTCCCAGGTTTGAATACTGGCTTGTTAACTGACCTGGAAGGGGAAGAAGACTGGCACCTCAATTTCTAGTTTTAAGTGGACTGTCCATATTGTTTTCCAGAAAGGCTGGACTTGTGGACATTCCCGCTAACTGTGAAAGATGTCTCTTTTTACCCACATCCACGCCAGCACTGGTTGCTTTTGTTCTTTTGAATGTGTGACAGTCTCTGTGGTGTGATATGATATCTCATTGTTGTTTTGATTTGCATCTCCCTGATGGCTAGCGATGTGGAGCATTTTTTCATGTGCCAATTGTACATTTTTCTTTCTTTTTTGAGGAAACTTCTGTTCATTTCTTCTCCCCATTTTTTGATGGTGTTGGAGGTTTTTTCCTTGTATAATTCTACTAGTGTCTTGTATATCCTGGATATTAATCCCTCATCAGATGGGTATTGGATAAATAATTTCTGTATTTTGGTCACTGTTTTCCCAGTTTTTCCAGGTTTTCCAGTTTTCCCAGCACCACTTGTTAAACAGGCTTTCCTTGTTCCACTTTACTTTTCTTGCAAAACACCACTTCTTAAATATTAAAATCACAATGTACTGGTAACGTATATATTTATGATAACAATCTCTTAATGTTTTATTCTCTTACAATATATTGAACATTTTTCTTGTCTTTTGGTAGTAATTTTAATATAAAACCTATTTTGTCTTATATAAATATAGCAATTTATATTCTCTTTTGGCTTCATTGCCATGATCCCACTTTGGAATTGTGTGTGCTCTTAAATCTAAAGTGAGGCTTCTGTAGGTAGAAAATTATTGTGTAGAGTTTGGCAGTCAGTTTTTCTTGTATTTTTATGTTCTTTTTTTTAAGTTCATGACTTGTTTAGTATTCTTAGACATCCTTTTCTTTCTCTCTATATATCCAAAATGGGCTGGAGTGATAGCACAGTGGGTAGGGTGTTCGTATTGCACACAGCCAACATGGTTGAACCGAGTTTGATTCCTCCACTCCTCTTGAAGAGCCCGGCAAGCTACCAAGAGGATCTCGCCCACACGGCAAAGCCTGGCAAGCTACCTGTGACGTATTTGATCTGCCAAACACAGTAACAAGTCTCACAATGTTACTGGGTCCGCTCGAGCAAATCGATGAACAACGGGAGGACAGTGACAGTGATATCAAAAATAAAATATGATTCCATGGTAATGTGAAATTTACATTAAATCATATACATATGTCACCGTCCATTATTTATTAAGAATTTAATTTTGACCTCATGCTTATATTCCACTTTTTCACTCCCACCTCTTTTTGGTTTTGATTATCACCACTGTAACAATTTGTTTTTGTTTTTGTTTTGGGGCCACCTTTGGCAGTTTTCAGAGGTTACTCCTTGCTGCACTCAGGAATTACTCATAGTGGACTCCAGGATGCCAGGAATTGAACAGAGTTGGGTTGCATGTAGGCAACCATCCTGCCCACAGTACCCATTTTCATAATGCTAGAATATGAGACAAGGGACTATGATTGATATAGGTGAGAGAATAATCTACAGAAGATTTTCCAAATTTCTTCAGAGATACAATCTCTCTTGTTAAAAATGGTTAATTCCTGACATGAGCTCTGCCCATACACGTTAATAGTTGAGCAACCTCAGGATTTCACACACAGCAAGCTAGAGCTGAGCAGACTGGGATCTGAGTCACAGTTCACTGGGCCTAGTCAAAGAAATCTTAATCCAGCCAATCAATTCACAGTTCACTGCTAGTAAACAAACCACACTCTTAGTCAAAAAGCACCTGCAGGCCTCCAAAATCATGTAATTAGCAATGGTGCCAACTTGCTGGTTAAGCTCCCATTCAGCTCTGGAAGGCATGTTCTGTGAATGAAAACCCAGCCTTGATCCTTGACTCTTCTACAGTCATAAAGATGCGTATGTAATTACAGCAGAGGAGTTCAATTGGTGGTAGGCACTGAGAACATTAAATCTCTGGTTTAACAGTCATGCCCCCACAATATGGTACACTGGTGCCTTAAGGCACTCAAAACTTTGGAGCTCATGTCTCCTCACATGCTGTAAAAACACTGAGAACAACTGTCTTCAGGTATATACAGGCCTATATTCCTGCTGGTGGTGCTCAGGTGGCTATACGGGATGCCGAGGATCAAACCAGAGTTGAATGCATGCAAAGCAAGCATCTTAACCACTGTAACAATTCTCTGTCCCCTCTGACTATTCTAGTTTTAAGCAATAATTTCCTGAGCCAATCATTATATTGATTCCTGACCCAATCATTATAAGATTCTCAACAAGTTAAAGTCTATTCATTTTTATACCTAGACTGCCTCCATTCCATATCCTGCCACTCAAATTTTCATTATATATCCTAACAGTATCAGATCAGTTTGTATGTTAGGCACTTGTGCATTTGTTGACATTAGGTCATCTCTTTTAAATGTCATTTCATATTTACCCTTATTTCTTCCTTCCTTCACTAATAATAATATAGGCTACATTCCTTCAAACACACCCTATTTTGATAATGCAAAGCACTGTTTATGTACCAAATATCATTCAATAGAAATTATTGGCAACGCAACACTGTACAGAAATTATAAAGTTCACTATTGAGTCAGGCTACTTGGATTTTAATGATAGCTCTGTCAATATCTAAAAGACCTTGGACAAGTGAGTGACACAGAGTGCTTTGCTGTATTGTAATTTCATTAGAAAGACTATCAGAGAAGTTCTTTCAATTAACACAGATATTAGAGGATAGACTACCAGTTCTTGTTCACCCTTCACCTAGCAAGAGAGCTAAAGTTTTAGTTGGAACATGGCTGCTTCAAATAAAATACTGCCTTTACACTTCGTATAGTTAAATGTAACCATGAAATTGAATTCTGATATATGATATGTAAATAAAAGTGATAATTGTGATTTCCAGATTTTCCTGAAAAGCAAATGGTTCTATTCTATACTTCCCTTTCTTTCAGTAGATGACTGGTAATAAAATGAAGCAGCACCTTAAGGATGGCAGAGAAACGCAAGGAGGAAACTGGATTTTTATCCCTGTCAAATCACCATGTTATCACAGAACTACTTCATTAGACTATTCCACAAATGAAGAAATAACATAGCTTGTGTTAGAGCCATTATCTGCTTACATGTAGAGAATTAGTAGCTTAACCTGTGTCCCTCCAATTACAGCTAACAAGTGGCAGATCTTGGATTTGAACTGTGGATATCATCTAACTGTACCATTAGCATTTCCTCTTGCAGAAATTTTTAATAAATTATGATTTTCTAAGATGGCACTACCAGAAATACAGAGAAAAATGAAGGTCATCTGTTATAATTGTACAAGACTGATCAATAAATGTTTTGTTTATTCTCATTATTGGCTTCAATCTCTCTCTTATTTCATTTAATATATACCACATCATATTATATTTCACATAAAATATACCTTCTTAAATTATTTTAGAATGAGAAAAGGTTTAAATATATGTAAGAAGGTACAGGGTTTTGGAATTGACTTGGCCCTTGACAACATGCACTGCATATAGAAGATATGAGTACCAAATGAATGTGGAACTTTGTGACCTTGGACTCTGGGCTCAACGGGACCCAAGAGCAGAGATCCTTTGCCTGTTTCCCCCAGTCTCCAGCGACCCAGGAATCACACCCATAAGCCACCTCCTGCTGGTACCAGATAATCTCCTCATCTGCCACTCTCCAGAACTCACAGCTGCTTCTCCCAGAAGAGAGCATAAAATGAGGCCACCATAACCATGCCACCGAACTCCCCGTCAGGCTGTTTACACTCAGGGAGCCCCAAAGGGGAGTGGGTGAGAGCACTCTCCGCCCCAAGGGACTCAGTTCCAGCAGCCGACCTCCTCCAGGCTGTTCCCAACCACCGCCACACTCGAGACTGCTCCCACATGCTCAGGTCGAGCCTCACATATGAGTGATGTGTCGTGACTGTGTGGCACATCATAAGACACTCCCTACCCATTCTCCATAATTAGCACACCATATTTGATGGGTTTCAGACAATAGGCAACAAATCATAGAGGGAAATACATATGCCTCTCAGAGAGTCTGGCAATTTACCAAGAGTATCCTGTCCACACAGCAGAGCCTGGCAAGCTACCCGTGGTGTATTCAATATGCCAAAAACAGTAAAAATAACAGGTCTTATTCCCATGACCCTGAAAGAGCCTCCAATATGGCAACGTTGGGCTTACCCAACAAGTAAGGAGAGGCTGCTAAAATCCCAGGGCTGGGACAAATGGATATGTTACTGGCACCCACTCGAGTAAATTAATGAACAACTGGATGGCAGTGATACCAAATGAATGCATCTATTAATAACAACATGCGTTGTCTTCTTTACTACTTCATTGTATACATACAACTTTCTTGTTTGCTTGTATCAGGGCCCCACCTGGTGTGATACTCAGGACTGCTGCTGGCTCTACACTCAAGAATTAGTCCTAATAGTGCTTGGGGACCATATGAGATACCAGAATCTAAGTAAGGTCAGTCATGTCCTTGCATACAACTTTCATAAATTTTTGTTTACATGGCTGTCCTCCTATTACTTTGCAAACTCAGTGACTCCTCTTTAATCCTGCATGTGCCATATAATAAAATATTTACATACTCAAGAAAATGCTCTGAAAGAATGTTACAGGTTCAGGAATGTTATCAAATATTCTACCATAATTCTACCATTCTACCATAATAGCATGCCTTTCTGTTATTTATTACCTTGAACCCGGGAGGAATACATGCCCTAAAAGGCCGTATGAGAAAATGTCACAAGATTAGAGCAGTTGTGGTGAGGACGTAAAATATATACCTTAATGAAGTGCTCGATTAGGATTTCTACCACAATATTCTGGAATTTGATGTTCATCATGGCAGCGACAGTATCTTCCTGAGCTCTCATTAGAGTGGGCCCAAATATTACTCCCATGTTGGATGGAGTCATAAGATTCTCTTTGCTGTGCTCACACACACTACAAGAAGAGAAAGAACATGATTAGCAATATCCCAACATTACTTTGTAACTAATACTATGTTCCTAGCTACATGGGAAAAGAGATAAATTTAAAACTAAAGATATAGGAGAGGTCTAATATACATTAAAAGGAAATGGTTATAAGGACTCAACTAGCAAAGAACCTAAGATGTACATAGTGGCCTATTTCTCTCACCTATGATTGGCCCAATACCTAATATTTAGTGAAAATGTAGATGGGGACAGAAAATATTTTGAAAAACAAGAAGGAATTACAAAGAAATCCCTGGCAAGCGGAACAACATGTAAAACATGTAAATACAAAGAATAATAGACCATAGAAACAATGCTTATTAGTTTCAGCAGTTAAGAATCTATCCTCTTGGGAGCTGGAGAGATAGCACAGCGGGTAGGGCATTTGCCTTGCACGCGGCTGACCCAGGTTTGATTCCCGGCATCCCATATGGTCCCCTGAGCACCGCCAGGAGCAACTCCTGAGTGCAGAGCCAGGAGTAACCCCTGTGCATTGCTGGGTGTGGCCCAAAAAGCAAAAAAAAAAAAAAGAATCTATCCTCTTTACTACCTTTAGTTAGAAACAAACACTTAAAACTTCGAAGGAACTTCAGAAGATTAGCTTTTTCTATTTGTCCTCGTGAGACATGAAAAAGAAAACTGATTTTCCTAAAGTCTTCATTAGAAAAATAATCAGATTCCCCAATTTTTGATCCTTAATCACTTTCATTGCTTAAATTCTTAGAGATTTCTTATCACTTACAGTACAGTGTCTACTTTCTTTAGAATAATAAACTTGACTTTTGTAACTTTTCATGTATTACACACCTTTGAAATGCACAGCTTGTTTTCACAAGTTGACCTGGATTTGAATTTCAACACTGTTACTCATTAACTATAAATAAAATATTTCCTGTTAGTAACCTTATATTTCTGGACTTTAGTTTTCTCACTTTCAAAATAGTATTGATAGTGTTGATATCAACTGCCAACTGATGTGTAATCCCACCAAAGGCCAAGATCTAGAGACTATAAAACCAAGCTATGGAAGAGAACAACGCAGTCTTCTGCCGCTATGTCTGGCTGTCCTCACCTGGGCCTCTTGGAGGGGGGCAGGTTGAGTTTCCCTCCCTGCCCCGAGCAGAGCCCTGGAAGCTGAAGACCTCCAGAACCCAGCCACAGCCATGCTAAGACCACTCTCCACTTACTAGACGAGCGTCATGCATGAAGGAACCAGCAGAGGAACCCAGGTGTGTGGGACCCAGGGCTGAAATCTTCAAGCCTGCTCGATTCGGGACTGGGTCTCCTCCGCCAAGATCCCCCATCTTCCAGCAGCTAGACAGTTAGACCCACCAACTGCCGTGTAATACCACCAACAGCCAAGATCCAGAGACTATAAAAGCAAGCTCTTGGAATTGCACGGCTGCATTTGCGGCCACACAACCTCTTATGGTCTAGTTTTCGCTCTCAGCGAACCCATCCGGCAGTATTCTGCCCGCATATAGGACTGACTGGGAACACCAGTAAAGGTGATTAGAGGCTGCCTCCAAAGACTCCATCCCTCTTGGAGAGCCCAGCAAGCTACTGAGAGTATCCCACCCACGCGGCAGAGCCTGGCAAGCTACCCGTGACGTACTCGATATGCCAAAAACAGTAACAATGATGGTCCTTATTCCCTTACCCTGAAAGAGCCCCCAATATGCCATCACGCTACACTATCACATGGCAGGGACAAAAGCAGACATTACTGGCACCCACTTTATCAAATCGATGAACAACAGGATGACAGTGACAGTGACTGTATTGATATATGGTGACTGGGCTGGACCAATAGCATGGACCAATAGCTGGACCAATAGGTAGGGTGCTTGCATTGCACGTAGCTGATTCGGGTTCGATTCCTCCATTCTTCTCAGAGTGCCCGGCTAGCTGTTGAGAGTATCCCACCTGTATGGGAGAGTCTTGCAAGCTCCCCATGATGTGTTCAATATGCTAAAAACAGTAACAACACGCCTCACAATGGAGATGTTACTGGTGCCCACTCGAGAAAATCGATGAACAATGGGAGGAGAGAGCTACAGTGCTATATGGTGACTATTGAACTATCAGAGTTAAAATTGTTTCACATGGTACCTTGGAAATATTCCACTGCAAGTATGTGTTATTATTGTTACCTGTTAGTATCCTCTATCTAGGCTCATATAACCTCTAACACTTTACATATAAAATTGCCTACATTAGGCTTTTAAGTGTGACCTCCATATATTGTTTCAGACCTCTATAACACTGCTCACTCCATTCCTTCTATTTAAACTATTCTCCTCTTCCTAGATCTAAACAATGTCCACTTATTATTTGAGATCACATTAGGTGGCATCTTATTTTGGGATATAACAGTCCATTATGCTCATTTTGCTTAACATCATGGGCAAACAGACCATGTTGCATTTTTTAATTTACATCTTCTACTAGTTGATAAATAACTTAAGGCATGCATGCCTTACAGGTAATTAATAATTATGTGAATGAAACGAGAACCTGTAGTGCTTTTTTGAATATTACTGTAGGCAGTAAAGGCCCTCCCGTTGATCGTCGATTTGCTCGAGCGGGCCCAGTAACGTCTCCATTGGAGACTTTGTTGTTACTGTGTCTGGCATATCGAATACTCTCGGTAGCTTGCCGGGCTCTCCGAGAGGGGCGGAGGAATCGAACTCGGGTCGGCCATGTTGGCCGCGTGTAAGGCGAATGCCCTACCGCTGTGCTATCGCTCCAGCCCAGTGGGTTTGGTTTCAAATCATATAATCACCCAATTGATCCAACCACTTGTTTGGTTTGGTATTTCCCAACTCCTTTTCTGTTTAAAAAATTCATCTAAATAAAGAACTGTTAGTTTCAAGTTGAGTCTTAGGCGTGCAATATTACAATACCAACCCCATCACCAAGTCCACTTCTCTCAACCAGTGTTTCCATGTTCTATCCCATCCCTCCACTCTCACCCCAGTGCCTACCCCCATGGCAGGCACATTTCAAATTTCAGTTGCTTTAGTTTAGATCTTAGGTTTTCAGTTTTGTTTCACAACTTTTTTTTTCTATCAGTAGTCCCCTTCCAATCTTCCTTCCTTCCTGTTGAACAAATATCCTATTAGTTCACCAACTAGTCTAGTATTGTGCCCCCGCCCTTTTCTGGCTATTTTCTTACCACTTTCTGGCTACTGTCTATCTTCTCTCCGTACAAAACCTGGTACTGAAAATTAAAAGAGAATTCCAAAAGTAGAGCCATAGTTCTTCCTATAGGACAAAAAGCTTAAAGCCCCAAATGCTTAAATCCCATGACATGTAGAAGGACAGAAAATTACTCACAAATTATTATTAAACTATACAATTGGAGAGCTTAAATATATTTTGAAATCATTGTTATGAATAAAATCAATGGGTGCAGTTAATGCACTTTAACACAAAATGAAAATTAGTGAAATAAAAAAGAAAAAGAATGAGCAGGAAATTCTTGATCAAAGAGAATGACATTATTAAAAAGTTTGAAGTAGAGATCTTGCATACATAAAACATAAAGAATGAAGTGGAATGTTCCATGAAAAGCAAGGACAGCAGATTTTATCTCACAAAAATTGGCAAAATTGAAGAACATAATGCAGTAATGATATAGAAAAGATGGGAAATAAGACAGAAAAACAACAAAATGTCACTTTGACTCATTTGATAAATCAGTCATATAACTGTAAAATAAAAGGAGAATATAGTCACCATATAAAAATCAAGGAGTATTATACATTATTATGATATATCTGTATTAACATCTTGTTGCACAACATATATAAAAGTTACTAACATAACTAAATCAATACATTTTCATAGTAAGTTTATCTCAGCAAACTGACATCATTAGAAAAGAGATAGTTCAGATAAAATTAATAAAGTAATAACAGACACAAATAATGTTATTGATCAGATGGAATTAATAGACTGATACCAAAAATGAATCCCCCAAACTGTGAGCACAAATTCTTCTGAATTGCACATGGTAGACCCTCAAAGACTGATGCAAAACGTCTCAATAAATATATGATGAGCCTCTTCCTCTTCGTCCCCAAGGCTGTGCTGGTCTTCTTCACCACCCAGGTCTGTTTATCTGCCAGTATTCGAACCCGGGACATGGCTTTCTCTGTGAAAGTACCCCAGGCGTCCTCTAGGACCCTGGGGCAAAAGCAGCCCTGAGCCTCTGCCTCTTCCTCTTCATCCCCAACACTGTGCCCATCTTGTTCCTCACCCAGCCTTTACCTACCCCCCACACACCAGGTTCCTGTGGGAGTGTGGCCTCTTCAGAAGTGGGTGTGGCTTTGGTAGAAGTGGGCGTGGACTTATTTTAGGTGGGCGGACGATCACGCAGTTTACTCATACGAAGAAATCTAGTGTAACATCACAGTTCCCATATCCACACACCAACATGAAGAAACAACGCAAATCCTCACCATGTGAGGAGGGCGATGAAAAGAGTCCAGAAACCTCAGTAGGTACCACTCACCTAAGGGACCTCTCTGACAAAGAATTCAGATATGCAGTCATGAAAATGTTCAATAAACTAAATTAAACAGTCATACAGGTATCCAGTAAATTGAAGGAGGACATGAAAGATACAATGGATAGGAAAATTGAGAAAATCAAGGAAGAAATGAGAGCAGAAATTGGAAAGCTATGCACAGAAATGTCATGAATTAAATATTCCATAGATGAAATAAAAAGTCTTTGCCTTCAAGAGTAGAATGGCCACAGCTGAACACAGAATCAGTGAGCTGGAAGATCAGCAGCACGAAGCCTACAGGCAACAACAAACAATGGCAAGAGACCTAAAAATAGCTCTGGAGTAAATGAGGGTCCTAGGAGATGATTACAAGAGGAACAACATTAGAATCATTGGAGTACCAGAAGGTCAGGGAAACAATCCCATTGAAAAAGCCACGGTTAAAAAAT